TTCGTAATGTCAAGTGTCGAGATTAACAGCTATTTAATGTCGATAACGACATTACAAATGTCGAGAAGGCATCAAATGTCAACATAAATATGATCCAACCAAATTTAACTAAGAGTGAAGGCAACCAAATGGTGTATTAACTGCGAAGACTGTAGCAAGCAGCTTTATAATTACTATAGCAGTTAAAGTTGGTATGCCAAGCACAAGTACGTTCTCAACGATATTGATGTGAAAAAAAGTTGTAAAATAATCACCATCAATGACTTCAACCATATTGGTCGGTGAGATATCTTATCGTGCATTCAACGGACAAGTGTTTCTCCAGTATAAAATGTTGGACTTTACTTAAATATGTACATACGAGAATTTAACAAAGTCATAGCACTAGTTAGTTTTTCCATTGATTATGTCTTCATCAACTCAACATACTCCTGTTCTTGATGTTACTATCACTTTCGACCCCCCTGGGTCGTCCGTGGACAACCCGATCATCATTGACTCGGACTCGGATAATGAAAGCAATATTTTTGTTCCATATGTTCGTCAACCTTCGAACCGCCATCGTAGGGTTTGCCTTCAACCAATCCCTTTTCCGAATCTAATCGACGAAATTGAACCAATTCAAGTTCATCGTGAGATCGTCCCAGTACCGGTCCAACCGGAAGCACATCATGTGTTGTTGGATGAAAATGTTGGAGCAGTTCCCGTCGAAAATGAAGATGTGATCATCATAAGCTCCGACGAGGAGTACGACAGTGATATGTCCTCTTTGTTCGCCATGGAGGATATGTAGAAGATGCAGTCATCGTAAGTGAAATGTTTACGTACATATAGTAGTGTTATAAAATCCATATAGGTGATGGATAATTTTTTGGGTGATCACCATTTTGTATAATAGTTGTTTACGATATGTATTGGAGTTATGGCTTCCTTTTGTTGTGATTATCATTTTGTCTGCTCCAATGACTTAGGAGAACGAGTCATTCATAAGTTGCTTTTGTATCCATTACCACATTGTGTCTACAATGATTAAGAAAATCCCAGTGATAAAATAGATATGTACTTATTCACTTATATGATGAACAAAATGATATCGTAGTGAAATGTTCATAAGAATATATGTAAGCACCATTTCCCTTGTTGGTAGTTATACCCCAAACCTGGCCTCTCTTGTTTGTATCCAGTATGACATTCAAAAATGAAGTGTTGTTTGTATTTAGTGAATGCCCATACGAATTTTCCTATTTGTGCGCTATAAAATTTTGAACGACTAGAATAATATAAGAGAAAAATCACAAAAAATGGGAGGAATCCGTATAAAGGATTCAAAATATATTACAAACTTAATTTTACAACAAGCAATTGCAAATAAGTGATATCAAGAGAGAACGAAGAAAGAAACAGAAAGAAGTAGAAGTCAAAAATATATTCAACAACATTTAAAATAAGAGGTAGAAAGCAAGTAATACAAAAGAAAAAAATTCAAAACATTGATAATTCATGTTATCAGGGCATTTGACGATCAGAATACACAATGTCATTCAAGTATACGTGTCACTTAAAGATGTCGAATTCTGACATGTTTGCCTGTTATGTCAGAACCCCCACATCGGCCGCATTTTCGTCTCAACGTCGACCTTTCAGTTCTTGACCGTTGACGTTGGGTAGGAGGTCGACCTGGTGCTCTACGTATATTCGGGGGCAAAACTTCAATGGAACGAATAGACTGAGAAACAACCCAATCTGACTCTCGGCCAACGGGGTGAGGAACTTCATTGTACGCAGCTCGCCAATATTCTGTGGTGTAGTAAGAGGAGCACAAATCATACAATGATTTTTCTTTTGCGCAAGCAGCTCGGGATGCATGTGAACATGGGATTTGTCACATCTGAAACTCTTGACATGAACATGTGTTACCTATAAGGTCGACAGTACAAAGTTCGGTAGCTATACCTACCTCAAAAACGAGTTCGTCCAAATTTCGTACTGGTAAAGTTGCACCGGCGTCGAATGATTTTCTCAATTCATCATCAATTTTTGATGTCACAGTCGTACTACATTTCGTGGATGCACTTTTTCTCTCGTAGAACCATCGTTGCATCAATGACGTAATATTTTCGATTAACGAGGTTATAGGGAAACTTCTTTGTCGCCTTAGGACTGAATTCAGTGACTCCGCAATGTTATTCGTCATAACGTTGTACCGATTACCAACAAAATGTGCCCGTGACCAGGTGGATATACCGGCACGTTCCAAGTAAGATGCCATTGACGGTCGAATGGTTCTTATCTGTGTCATAAACTGATCAAATTCCGATACGCGGTATGCTAGCGCTGCCCGCTTGAATAAGAAGATGACATTGCTACTGCTATACCTTGCAATAAGATTTTTCTCGATATGCCAGATGCAAGCACCGTGGTGAGAAAGTGGGAACAACCTCGTAATTGCCCGCTTAATACTCTTCTTCCTATCCGACACAAACACTAGCTGGTTTGAATCATCAATGACATCTTTCAACTTTGCAAAGAACCAATACCACGATGCATTTGTTTCCCCATCGACAACACTCCACGCAAGAGGATATATTTGTAGGTTAGCATTTTGCGCTGCAGCTAGTAGTAGTGTTCCCTTATATTGGCCCTTCAAATGACTTCCATCAACACAAATTACTGGCCTCATGTATTCTCGAAAACCACATACACTAGGCCCGAACGCTAAGAAGAAGTACAAGAACCTATTATTCGAGTCGAGTTCAATGTGTGCAATAGTTCCTGGATTATTCTCGGTTAACATGTGACAATATGATGGCAATTTCTGGACACTTTCTTCGGGTGTACCACGAAGAAATCGAAGTCCCTTCTCTTTAGCCCTCCACGCTTTGTTGTAGGTAATCCGTACACCAAATTCACGTTCCATATCCCCAATAATACCCGCAGGAACGTATAATTGGTTTGCATCGTCCAACCTTCGCATTATGTGATGCCCAATTATTGCACTCGTTGCGTGAATTTGTGCATTTCGTCGAACGTCTAGAGAATATGTGTGCTCAGGTATGTACTCTCGAATCGTAAAGATTTCTGAAGTTTTTATCATAGAAGCTCGTACTAGCCAATGGCATGTAGTATCGACACAACACACAGTAAGAGATCTAGGATTCGACTTTTTAACCTTGAAATGAAACTTCTCTTTCAAAGCCTTAAGTTGAAGCCTTGTGTGTAACTGTCGTTTGCTAAAGAATATCTGATTCTCCACAATGTCCTCTTCATCAATCGACTCAATTGCATTTCGAATAAACAAATTGCCTTCACCTAAACTTTCGTCCATATTATCAATCGTTTGTGGCTCTTGTAGTTCGCACATACCGACTTCATCGCGTCCACATAATGCATCTTCTATTGGTGACAAATGCTCAACTCCGACATGCAGTTCGTGCTCTCCAGCATTATATTCATCTGCAATTACACACAACGCCGCTTCTGTGTGAACAGACATAAACCATTGCAAATCCTCATCGTCGGCTACATCAGCTGGGGGTATATTCATGTTTGGAACTGTAAATTTCAATTGAATTCGGAACTTCATTCTATCAACATTCAGCTTCTCGAATAATTTATGTACAAGCTCTTCATATGTAATATCATGTCGAACAACAATTGATGTTGTTCGGTTCCCTAACCACTTCCACCCGTCGTCTTTGTTGACGAATCTACCACCATACGATACAACAAATCTCTTAACATCTCCCATATCTGCATGTCATAAACAACAATACTGTCAACCACTAATGAAAATCGAAAACGAAAATGCTACCTGCATGCAATATGTGAATCACTCTACACGAAAATTTACCAACTTACTCAAATTTTTAATGTTATTGTCAACATTTAACAGTGTCGATAATGATAGTATAAATATCATTCTCGACGTTTATAATCAATATTGACATTTATAAAATGTCGAGAATGAAATGACGGGATTTCATGCATTTATCATCTTCTTCAACTTCAACCACCATTTTTGCAAGAATTTATTCTACCATAAATAATATTCTAAATATAGAAGTATATTATCTAACTAAGTTATTTAAGATGAATGGTACGAAAAATATATACTTAGGATAACTTCGTCCAAGGGAAAAAATACTTTATCAAAAAATTGAGATTTGAACATATACAACAACAACTACTAAATAAAACTTATCAAAAAAAATGAGAGTTCGAAGAAATAGAGTTCAAAGAAATATACATTCTACCGACAAATGATGAAAGCCTAATCAGCTTCAAATTTCCACCGCAGTAAATTTCTTAAAATAATTTCTTTCAAGTTCGAATCATATACTTCTTCGTATATGGTAATGGAATTTTTGCTTCTTCTTCATTTGTTCTA